ATAACATCAAAAACTAAAATGCAATAAAAATTTCAATTTTGTTAAAAAATTCCCGGAACCTGATTTTCCTAGCAATCAACCCATTTATCTATTTTCAACAAGTCCGCACAAAGTTCAAAATTCAGTGGAGGTTCTAGTCCAGAAATTACTGGAATTCTCCATTGGAATGGGCTTGTGGCTGTTTCTAAGATTACAACGTTGGGTTTACATTAACACTTCCGACTGTAACAATATCTCCATTTGGAACTAAATAATAGAAATTTGGTGAAGCAATCAAAGGATGAAAAGAAGGTAATAAATTACTTACGGAGTGTAGATGTAATGAAATCTACTGTTATCGGACATTTCGTTGGGTTGCGTTACAATTTGTCTACTCAAAGTATTATCAAACGTATTAAATATTTCGCTCTATATATTTCAAACGTTAGTAATTTCACTATTATATAATTTATTTCTTATATTTTACCTGGCTAATAGATCTGTGTGTGGCAACATTCCTACTGGCTATCCATATCCTCCAATGAGTCTATTATTTAAGAGTACAGATGCATAATCATCAGCAATTATAGGTATTTTGATTTGCCGTTAAATGAGTTCAGGTAATCGAAGAAGTTTCGAGTAAATATGTATCACCTACAAATGTGCCATTAAAGAACCAACCACCATGAAGATAAGCAAATCTATTATTATTACTTAAAAATTTTAAATGACTTCTCTGATTCAACTTGGGCATGATTGCCATTGTTGTTCTTTCCCTATCATTTATGTTGATTGTTGTATTCTAATAGAGTTTGTTCATCAAATCTTCGATCTTGACTAAACAGGTCTTATATCAAAGTTATTATTAAGACCAGCATAGCGGGCTTAAGCCTGATTGGTTGATTTTTAAAATGATTGTCACATATTAAATTCATATAAAAAAAGATGATCATCAATCTTTAAATGGATTCGTAGCCACGGGGATAAATTCGCAAGGGTTGCGATAAAAAATTTCTAAAGTAAACCTTCTGTTTTATAAATTGTCAAAGTAATTTGGTAAAAAGCAAGGTAATTTAGAACTTAGCTAATTAGGGTCTTTTGCAATATGTTATTTTATATGTATATATATATAGAGAGAGAGAAAGAGATTTGAATTATATATTGGTATATATTTTTAAGACTTATTTTATTTATTTACACAAATAAAAGAGAAGGTTGGATTATTTCTAATAAATATTAGATAATATACAACTATTCTTTCATGTTTTAACTTTATTGTATAATTTGTATAATTTGATTTAAATTTATAAACCAAATAACTAATAATGAATTGTAATTTAGATAAATATCTAAATGTATTTACATTAATATAATTTAATAAAAAAATATTTTAATATATTTTTCACTTGTTAAAGATAATTTGGTCCTTTTTACATAATATTTTCACATAATTATTAATAATTTCAGACTTAAAAAATTAAAAATTTTAAATTTTTTATTAGAACAAATAGTCATGTGATTGGTTATTTGCCAATTATATTAATGAATAATTAGCCAATCACAGAAAAAGCTCACTATACTAGATCATTGTATATCATGTATAAAATAGCTTCCATTTTATGAGTTCTAATTACCCTTAATAGTTTTTTTTATCAATTTCCACCTGAAGAAATACAAGATATATATAAAATAAATATAAAGATTAAACAAGTTATAGCTAGACAACCTATCAATAGTGGAAGATTTAGGTGTAATTATTCATGCGATATAGAAAATCACCATCTGTATACCTATTATAAAGCTTGTAAAACTAATTTACCATATAACATTATTAAACATAAGTGTGTAATTAGGTATAAATTAGGTCAAATTCAACCAAACATAGATTCTAAATATCTGAAAAATCAAGTATAGTGAAATAAGCTAATAGAAGTTATAATATAATTATTAGAAACTTAAATGCAAGTATTACATAGAATACTTTAAGAACTTTCTTTTTATCTAATTTTTCTTAAACAAATATAACCTGAGTTTCTTGAATTGGATTAAATTCTCTTCTTATTTCTTTATATATTATTTTTTTTATTTTACTTTTATTACTTAAGATGAAAGCAAAAGTATATGCAATGTGATATATAGTCTATTATAAATATTAATCAATATAATTGTATTTATTCTTATATTACACAATAAGCTATTCCCACAGAATTAAGAACTCCTAAATTTATCAAGCAATTTAAGAACTTTTGCATATCTTATACAATTCAAGATAATTATTTATATAGAAATGATAAAAAAAACT